TCAAACAAAAGTTCATTATTTGTAAATGGTGTTGACATTCCTCCTTCATTAGAAATTCCTTTTTCTATAATTTCAAATGGATATTCATATTTAATACGTAATAATACTCTTGGCTGTTGTATAAACATTAATACTTTTACAAAGTCTAATGGAAAACAATATTGAAACACTTTTTCTTTATATAATAATATGAATTGATCAACAATCATTAAAGTGCATTGTTCTGGTAATGTATGACCAGTTCCATCACACATTTTTATTTCAAATTTTTTATAATTCCAAAAAGAATTAAATCTAATTTCATCAATGTCTAAGTTACTAAAGTATAATGAAAGAGAAGATATATTAATAAGATATAACATATCATCTCTTTTCCAATTATATTCTTGAAGACTATATTGAATAGATAAAAATCCTTCAACAGTAAAGTCATGAGAAATTTTCAAAGGAATAAATGGGAATGAATTTAAAATATATGTATGAAATATTGGATATTGTTGAATTAAAGGAACAGTATTATCTATTGGTATTTGACAATTAGCTAATGACCCATTATATTCAAAAATACAATTAACATATTTTACTTCACTTAATACAGTAGCAAAACTAATTGTTTTAAATGTATGTTCAAAAAATACTTCGTCAATAATTTTATTAGGAGGATAACAATAATTAGGTTGATTTTCAAAGAAGAAGAAAAATATTTTTTTATTTTGATAATTAAACTCTTTACCATTAATATCATTTAAAATTCTTCCTAATGTTAAACGTTCTTTTAATGGTAAGAATCTTCTTATTTTAATTTGATTAGGTAATACTACTGATATAGACAAATGTCCATCTGGGATTTCTTCTTGTGTAAATACTTCTTGTGTAACACAATCAGATACTTCAAGTTGTTTAGAAATATTATATTGCAAAGAATCACTACCAGGCTTTTTTTCAACAAATTCTCCATGTTGTATTTTATCAATAATATATGTTTGATATTCTTCAGATTTTAATATTTTACTTCCATATGAAAGTTGTTGAATTCTATTTATTGTAACAACAATATCACTAAGTTTTCTACATTTAGCAAAATTAATTGTGGAATCAGATGTAATTGTTTTATTACCATCATTAGTAAATAATAAATCACTCAATATTAATCCTAAAAATGGTACCATTGCTGCTGTACAATTGTCTTCAGCAACTCTTAAACTTTTCCAATTTCCTTCCATATTAGCTACTTTTCTTACGGTTTCAAATTTCTCTTGAACATCATTACTTACTGCTTTAAATGTTCGTTTTAATCGATGTAAAGCTGAAGTTTCAAATAATGTTACAATACAAACAACAATAAAGAAATTATTAAGTTGAAGACAATAATATGCAATAAGGTCTAATCGTTCCACAATTAATGAACGTTTTTGTAAGTCATTTTGTCCTAATATTAATTCAGTTAAACAATTTTGAAAAGCATTATAAAAATTAGTCATTTCTATAATATTAAAACATTCATTCTTTGTTGTATTTGAAGTTGACTTAAAAAACTCTACAAGTTTAATTTTTCTAAAAAGTTCAGAGGTAAATAAAGTAATTTGTTTAGCAAATTCTAATGGTGGAAAATCCATTAATTTTGGTTCTCTTTTTAATTTAAAAACATTATGTAATGAAGGTGTAATTGGTTGTACTGTATCACTAACACTTTGAATTAACACAAGACTATTTCCAGTTAATATTCTTTCCATAACATCAGTAATAAGAAGAACTTGTTTTTTCATACCATATCTTTTCATTAAATCTAAAAATTGATTTGTTTGTTCTACAATAGGCATTGATTTATCAATACTCATTTGCCAAGTATTTTCAACCCAATATTTAATTGCATTAATAATTCTTGCTTTAATCTTTTGTGATAATATTCCATCATTACAACAACATTTTTCAAATCTATCTTGAAGCATTGAAAGCATTGTGTTAGTTGTTGTAAAAGAAGAATGAGTCCAAATAAAAGCTCTCATAATATCACTATCTTCTGTACAAACACAATTAATAAGAGAGTCAATACATCCACTCATCACAGCATTATTTTCTCTAATAACATTTTCTTGGAAATATTTCATAAAGAGTGTATCTTCATATTCACCAGGAAAATAAATTAATTTATTTTCATTTTTTTTTACTTTAATCATTTGGTTTTGATTTTCATTACTTTTATCAATACTAACTAATGTAGAACTTCCATTTTCTTCAGGCTGAAGAACAAATGTAGGGCATTGATGATTTCTACTTATTTCAAGTGTTCGGCTAATTTCAGTTTGAATTCGTTGTGATGTAAGAAAACTTTTCCCATTTTTTAAAAACTTAAATAATATCCCATTTTCATTGTTTTTCGATGGATTACTATTATTTCTATTTGTGCCAACAAATAACTTACTTGTGATAGACTGGAGCAAATGGCTTGAGTGAATTTCTTTCATATAAAACACTATAAAATAACAATTTTTTTTTATTTTTTTTCTTTTCTATTCTTTTAATTTTTTATTATATTTTATTATTTCTTTCTTCTTTTCCTTTGTATTGAAAATAAAAAAAAAAAATTTTTTCTTTTTTTTTATTGAAAAGGTTTGAAGAATCTTTTCTAATGTAGGATATATAACAAATGGTTATTACAATGATTATTGAGTAATGGTGTTGTGTGTTGTAAAGAAAAAAAAAACATAGAATTTCATTATCAGATAAATGAATATCAATATCATTCAATTGAATAATGGTATAATAGTAAATGAAATACAATGAAAATGGAATAAGAAAGAGAAAGAAAAACAAAGAAAAACACAGATAAAAACAAAGAAGAAGAAAATAACACACTTCAAAATCTAATCAAGAAATGGAAGAAAAGATTAACGAATAACAAATGAAGGAAATAGAAGAAGAACAAAACAACTGGAATGAAATGAATGAAAAACAAAAGACATAATTAGAAAGGAAAATGAGAAACAGAAAATACAAAAGAAACAATCTAATTTTAATGAATGAAAAATGAAAGATACACGAAGAAATATAGAAATAAAATGTAAAACAAATAAAATCGAAAGAAGAAAGAATGAAAAATAAAATAATTAAGTGTTATCAAAGTCTCTGAGTTAAATGAGAGAAATGATGAATGAAAAGAAGAAGATTAACCAAAACTCTGAATATCAACAAATTGCAAATAAAATTAAGAAAAACAGAAAGAACAAGAGAAGAAATAAACAATACACAAAAGAAAAAGAGACACAAAAACAAATAATAACAAACCAACAAGTTGTAATAACAATTTAATAACAAAGAAAATACAAAGAAATAGAGAAGAATAACATGTGTGATAAGCATGGAAAGAATAAAGAGAATACGAAAAGTAAGAAGATGAATAAAACTAGAATATGAAAAAGATAGAATGATAAATAGAAGAAATGAAGCAAATACAGAATAACAAAAAGAAGAGATAATAATTCAACAAGAAACAAAACAACGAAATAGAATAATAAATGATATAAATGAATGAAAATAATAGAGCAATAAAAATACATAAGAAATAAGATAAGAAGCAAATATAATAAAAGTGACAAACAATAATGCAAATAATCCAAATGCAAATAATCATAAAATGAGACATACAATACAGAATGATAGAATAACGAATGAACGATATAATCGAAAACAAGTAGAATATAAAACAAATATGAAACAACAAAATTGAAATAAGTGAAGAAATAATGAAGAATATTTTAATACAACAACAATCAAACAAAGAAAATTACACCCAATAAAGAATAAAATCAAAGAAAAGAAACAAATGAATTAATAACCAAAAATAATAAATGAGTTATAACTCGATTGTTATTATTCCATTCTCATTCTTATATTATTATTCTTTTGTATATATTATCCTTGTCTGTTTCTTTCATATATCATAATATAGTTTTATTTGCATTTATTTTCTTCGTTCTTTAATCATAATTTCTCTTCACTCTTTTTATATTTCTTTAACTCTATCATTTATTGATTAAATTTTTTATCTTATTTGTTTTTCAGTCATTACCTTTACTTGTAATTATATTTTAATTTTAGACATTCTTCATTTATTTTATTTATTCATATAGTGATATTGATTAAAACATCTACCCTCATTATATATATGATTATATTTAATTGATAATGTGTTATTTATAATGGGTAATAGACTGATTAAGATTGGTATTTCATTGGTAATGATTATAACTACACTCTTGACAATATGTTTTTAAGTATATTTCTTGTTATAAAATTATTTTGATATAACTTTCATTATATTGTTGTATTTCAAAAAAAGAGACAAGAAAATAAAATATGATAAGATAGAACCAACAATAAATTCAATAAATGAGTTAGTAAAAACAGGAAATATTAAATTTACTAATGAATTAGAAAAATGAAATTAACACCACAAAATAGTTAAAGACATTAAAATTAAAAAATATGAAAAGCATCAAGAAACATTGTATCTATCATAACCAAACATACACATTTCAATTAATTGATTACAAAAAAATAGATTTAATCTCTTCAAAATAAGAAACAAAGATAATAAATAAAATAACTCTATCAATTCTTACTTAATTACATTTTATTAAAAAATTGTATCATTTTTAATAATTATTTCATTTCCTTTACTCATAAAAATAATTCATTATTTATAGTAGATATATAACTAAATATAACATTAGGGTTAATGCCACGTAATACAAAAATAAACTATTATAACTAATCATATATATTAAAAATTAAAACCATAATTCTATCATTTTATTTTTTATACTCAATAAAAGAAAAATTAAAAGATAAAAAATGAAGTGATGATCCTTTATTTAAGTGATTAACCATGATAATCATCTTTCGGGTCTGATTAAATTTTTTTCTTTTTTTTAGAATTCCACAAAAAATATCCAAAAGAATGAAAAATGAACTTAAAAAAGAAACAAATCATAATAGCTATGTCTGAAGAAGGTAAGAAACCTCACAAATGCAGGTTTGTTTTTTTTTCTTTTTGAATTAATTTATTGTATAATAAAATAATGTTATTAGACATCTTGGTTGTGATAAAACATACGTTTCTTTGAGATATCTTCGTGCCCATGAAGCAAAAGAGCATTTAAACTGTCCTCCTGAGTGTAAATTATGTGAAGAACATCGAAGTAGAAGAAGGACAAGAAAGAATCATGAAGAAGAAGTTTGTTAGATAATTTTTAATGAAAAGAAAAGGGAAAACGACAGAACAACTAAACAATAAATTAGGATATTCCAATTTTAATAGAATTACCAAGTAGTTTATGCATTAGACTAATGGATGAAAATGATAAAATTACAAATAGTAGTAATGTTTGTTACGTATTTTAATATATAAATTAATTGATAATAAAGAATAATTACGTGTAGTTAATTCCATTACCAAGAACTCCAAGTGCAAGAAAAGTTATACAAGACTTCCTTAAAACTGCAGAAGATGATGAAGTAAAAGAATTAGCAGTATCTTTTTATACATTATTTTGTCATACAGTTGGACCATTTTTATTATATGAAATAGAAAAGAAACAATACGCACAAGTTTTGGAAAAAGTTAATTCTATTGATGAAGTTGGTGATTATTATGGAGCTGAACATTTATTAAGACTAGTTGCTAAATTACCTCAAATTTGTTATGAAATACATTTTGATAAAATGGATGAGTTAAAAGTCTTTTTAGAACAATTGGCTCATTTCATGGAAGAGAATGCTTCAATACTCTTTATTGATAAATATTTCAGAATCAACCCCAATCAAAAAACAATCGAATAAAATTTTTTTGTTTTTTGGTTTAATTCAATTTTTGTGAATTACTGATTCTTTTGTATTATTTTTTAAATTTTATTAATAATATATTAATAATATATTATTAATTTGTTATAATAATTCATGGGATATCTATTTCTATAAATAGTATATTTATATAATAATAAAATAGGTTAGAATAAACTAAATATTCAGGAAAATCAACGACAAAAAAATTTAGATCAAAAAAAAAAAGAAAAATTTGCAAAACATGATTTATTTTTATATCATTATAGGAAGAATTAATGGATTTGAAAAAGAGAAATGCTAACATATAAAAAAGAGTCTCAAAGTGGGTAAAAACCGAAAAAAAAAAACAAAAAAAAAATAGAATCTCAAACTTAAAAAACAACACAAAGAAATATGGCTGAATCAAAAAGAATTTCAATTTCTGATTCGTTCTCTGTTGACTTTAATGGAATTTCTGCAAGTGAAATCACTTCAGATGCATCATATATACCCAATCATTATAATGTTATTCGATCGCAATTTAAAACAATTCCACAATGTCCATTGCAACCACCACCTGATCTTAAAACATATCGCGAAATTAGAGAAAAGAAAACAGGACGTTCTATTGGAACAGATAAAGCAGGTTCATCATTATTTTCTGGATCAATAATTTCAGATATAACTAATGTTACTGCTAACTCAATTCAAATGCAAGAAAAAATGGAATCAATGCAAATAGAATTTCCATTAGAATTTAATGGTAAAAGTCATTCACCAAAAGTTGATGAAAAGTATTTAATTTATTCACAAAGAGAGTTAGAAGATCTTAAAAGAATTGTATTATTAATGTTAGACCATTGTCCGCAAACATTTAATCTTTTATTTGATTCAAAAACTGCATCAAGTACGAGTAGAGGTATTTTAGCTATGACAGCATCAACTCAAACAACAATAAATTTTATTCAAAAAATAATGAATTTGGAATTTGAAGAAAATGCAGGTACTGATAAATTAATGAGAGAAAATTGTCCAACAAATTTATTATGTAAGTCTTTATTTGAAGCAATTATTCCTGAAGTTTTTGTTGATAAAGTTAAAGAATTCTTTACTGAATTTGTAAGTTTAAAATCATCTTTTGAGATTGATGATTTATTTGTTGAAAACGATGATGAGATTGAATCTAATTTCGAACTTCTTCAAAGTTGGACTGAAAAATATGTTAAAATAGTTACTGATTTTTTCCCATCACTTCCACTTACTATCTTCCAGATTTGTAATGTTTACAGAGAATTAATTATTAAACATTTACCTAATCTTCCTAAAGGTGAAGCTGATGTTATGACTGTTACTTTCCTCACTCAAAATTGTTTTATGTCTATTACTGAAAATCCTGAAAAGTTTCATATTAAAGGATTAAAGAAAGGTTCTCATATTGTTGAACGTAATTTTACAATTCTAACAAATGTATTAAAAACATTGTTTGCAGGAAAAAAATTTAGTAATAAAAGACATGGATATATGGCACCATTAAATCCTTTTATTGATTCATCATTTAGCAGATTACGTGTTGCTGCATTAAAAAATTTAAAAGCATCAAGTTTAACAATTACAACATTAAAAGAAAGTCAATTAATGGATGCTCGTGCTATTTCATCTGTTCATAGAGAGTTTTCAGAAAAAGCAAATACATTAATGAATGGTTTTCAAGGACATTTAAGACTATTATTTTTAGAAAATATGTTAGATTTAGGAAGTTATGAACGAAAATGTAATCATTTAAATGCATTTGATCTTGAACAAGTTAAATTATTCAGAAAGGAAATTACCAAACAAAAATTAGATTGTTATTTTATTATGAAAGGAACAGTAATTTGTGAAAAGAAAAAAGATAAAAATGATGTTATTCTTTATGATAAAGTTGATAAGAAAAATGCTACTGTATGTGCATGTTTTATTACTGAAGATTTCTTAACATTTATTGATTTAAAAGGAAATATATTTGTTAAAAGAGTATTTAATAGACAAATTAATTCAATTCAAGTTATTGAAGGTGCAGAACAACATATTACAATTGATGCCGTTAAACAAACTCTCTTTATTAATGGGGATAACAACAATCTGTTTATTGTTTATTTAATGAGAGCATTTGCTCATGGATATTATAGAAAACCAACATTCTCTCTAAAAGCACCATATGTAGTTACTACTCGTATTTTACCTTATCCATTAAATTATAAAAGTCAGTCTGGAGGATTCCTTGGAGTATATAAAGCAAATTGTGCATCATTTGGAGTTAAAATGAATAATGGATTAGTTTTTGATATTGCAAATGATATTAGATTACAAACACCAGGAGAAGAAAGAACGCTTGACCTTAGTAAATATTATAATGATGACTATAATAACACTAAAGAAGATTGCTTATTAGATACTGATATGCAACCCATTTTTTGCTCTCTTACTCATAACCATTTCTTTAAAAAAATTGTAATACAAGATACTAATCTTAGGAGATGTTATTCTCAATTAAAAGATATTCTTGCTACAAACACTACTATTGAATCACTTGCTTTAATTAATGTTTCATTAGGTTCTAAGTGGGCTGATGTTTTTGAAGGATATAATTATAATCCAAAACATCCATTATTAGAGTTAGATGTGTCATCAAATCAAATGGATTCTAAAGGAATTGCTGCCATTGGAGCTGTTATAAGATGTTATAGACTAGAGTCAATAAATTTAGCTAACGTATTAACACATAGTAGTACTGTTTCTGCTTTTCTTGATGACTTAAGAAAAATTAAAACAAGTATTCCATTACGTTCATTAAATATTTCTGGTGCTCAAATGTATTATACACAAACTGAGTTTCTTGTTTCATTAATTAATGGAATGTTACCATCATTAACAGAATTAATTATGAAAGACTGTGAAGTACCTAAAGAAACAAGTTTAATAAAATGTGTTTGTGCATTAAAGAAAGTTGTTAAATTAGATATTACTGGATTAAACTTCAATCAAGAATTAATTCAACATTGTGTTGATAACCTTGGAAGCAAATTAGATCAAATCACTAACCTTTCTTTAGAAAAGGCTGTTATTGATAAAACAACATTAAGAAAATTCATTGAAGAAATTCCAGCAAAATCAGTTTCATTAGACTTAAGTGAGTCATCACTTACAACAGAAATTATGACATCATTCTCTCATATGTTTGCTGGATTAACTTCTATTAAAACCATTAATGTTTCATATACAGACATTGGAGATGAAGGAATTATTTCCCTTTGTGAAGCATTAACACAAAATACTGTTGTTGAAGAATTAGATATTTCTGGTTCATTTGGTAGGACAACAAAGAAACAAAGTGATACATCAACAGAAGTTGTCAAAGCGATTTGTAATTTGTTAGTTTCAGGATGTCCATTAAAAATTTTAAGGATGGCTGGAGGTAAAAAAGAGTCTCAAAAATTAGGAATTAATATTGTCCCAATTTTTGATACCCTTGTCAGTCAAAGTCAATTAGAAGTACTTGATGTTAGTGGACATAATTTTGGAAATAAAGGTGCATTTTCATTATCAAATATGATTCGTAGTAATTCTAAATTAAACGAACTTAATTGGGATGAAAATAATGTTGGAGTCTCTGGAATGAGATCTGTTGCTTTGAAACTAAAACATAACATTACCCTTCTTAATTTCCAAATCCCAGTTATGGATTGTGGTTCCTTAACTGGAAGGGATTTGTTAGAAGCTCGTAATATCATCAACGATATGCTTATTTCTTCTAATTAAAAATTATTTTTAATTAATGAAACTATACTATTTAATAATATTTTAATAACAAAAATATATTTCAAAAAATAATTTTATTTGTTAAAAATATTTTATTTCAATTAACAATATTTCGTTCATCAATTAACTCTAATTCTGAAAGAATTAATGAGTCTTTGATTCTTGGTTCTATTACTAAAGAATCAACAATATGATACTCTCCTTCTGAACATGTCACTGGCATTGAATAAAAAAGACCTGTATCAATTCCATATTCTCCATTACTAGAAACTCCCATACTAACCATAATTCCTGGCTTAGTTCCATAAATCCAATCTTTAATGTGTTGACAAATTGCATGAGCAGCAGATCCAGCAGAACTTGCTTTTCTTGTACTGATTACTTCTTCACCACGACATCTAACTTTTTCAGTAAAAGCATCAAAATCTTCAATACAATTAGCTAATGGTTTAATCCCATTTTGGTCAGCAAGATATGAATATGAAAGGTCTGGTTGCATTGTATTAGAGTGATTTCCCCAAACAATAATATTATGAACAAATTCAGGTTGACACCCAACTTCATTAGCAACAAACGCAGTTGCTCTATTTTGGTCTAAACGTGTTAGTGCAGTTATGTGCTCAGGTGGAATACCTGATGTTTTACAAATAACATAGGCATTAGTGTTTGCAGGATTAGCAACAACAACCACACGAACATCTTTATTTGAATAAGTTCCAAGTGCTTTTCCATTCATTTCCATTACTTTTTTATTTACATTAATTAAATCACTACGTTGCATTCCAGGTTTTCGTGGAACACCTGCAACAATAATTGCAACATCAACATTACTAAAAGCAAGTGCAATTTCTGTAGTAGAAATAATTCCTTTTAGTTTTGGCAAACAACAATCAGTTAATTCCATTGATAATCCTTTTAATGCCATATCATTTAGATCATACAAATGAAGAATAACATCACAATCAAATAAAAATCCCCTTCCAATGAGAAAACATAAATTATATCCAATTTGACCAGCAGCCCCAGTAATTAAAACATGTAATGGTTCAGTTCTATTGACTTTTTCCCAAGGAATTGGTTGTTGCATTGAACGATGATAATTTCTAGTTTATTTACTTTTTAATTTAAAAAAGAAAAAATTTTAGTTTTCAATAATATCTTATAAAAACAAAAAAAAATTAATTATTTTATTAAACTATAATTAAATAAAAAAAATATTATAACAAATTTAGCTCTAATAACAAAACTCTAAAGAAAAAAAAAAAATAACTAGAAGTAGAATTCAAATTTGTTTTTTATCTCCCATCACCATTGTCAAGAGTAACTTTACCGTTCTTGACATTTTCAAAGATAACTTCAGCAGTTTGTAAGAAACAGTTATCCACATTAGTGGCATCACGTGCAGATGCCTCTAAGAATAATAATCCATTTTCTTTAGCAAATGCCTCACCTTCTTCTTTGGTGACTTGTCTATCAGGAAGATCACATTTATTACCAACAAGCATAATAGTGGTATTTGGATTACTGTATTTTCTACATTCTTCTAACCAAATTGGAATTTTTTCAAATGACTCTTTTCTTGAAATATCATACACTAATAAAGCACCAGATGCTCCTCTATAATAACTTCTAGTGATAGATCTAAACTTTTCTGATCCTGCAGTATCCCATATTTGAAGTTTTACTGACTGACCTTGAATTGGAATAGTTTTTGTTCCAAATTCAACACCAATAGTCAAGTCATGAATTGGTTGGAATCTTTTATCTTGGAATTGAAGAAGAAGACATGACTTTCCTACTGCAACTTCTCCAACAATAACATATTTAAATACATATTGATATTGTGACTCAGCTGGTTTATTTGAATCAATTACAGGAATTACCTTTGGGTTTTGTGCATTTTGTGTTTGTTCACTTTTTCCACAACACTGAATGGTAAATATTCTTGATTGATTCAAAAGTAATGTGTTAACAAACAGACATCTTTAACTTATTTTTGAGTTCATTTTTTATTTTAAGATGTTTGGTACTTACTATTAAGTTCTTTGTATCATCATTACAAAGACATATAATTTAGTCCATATGGACAGTGTCAGTTATTATTACATTTCATGTTTAAATAACAGCAATTTAATTAAATGAAAAAAAAGAGTAAATAAAATGAACAAAAATCAAACTAAAAAGAGTGAAGAATAGAAAAGTCTTAGAAAAAAAAAAGAAAAATAAAAAAAAAAGAAGAAAAAAAACAATTTAAGTTTAAAAACAAAAAAATGAGTGATGCATTTCCTATTTTATGTGAAAATTGTTTACCCAAAGAAAAGTATATTAAAATGACAAGAGCAAGAATGGGAGAAGCATGTAAATTATGTGATAGACCATTTGATGTTTATAAGTGGAGAATGGAAGAATCAAATTCAATTAATAAAACATATGTTTGTTTGAATTGTGCACGAATTAAAAATATGTGTCAATGTTGTTTAAAAGATATTGAATATAATATTCCTTATTATGTACGAGATGCAGCATTAGCCCAAGTGAATGGAAGTATTTTCCAAACAACAAGTTTAAATGAAGCAAATAAAGAATGGTTAATAGAAGTTTCTCAAAAGAAATATGAAACTACAGGACAGAGTGAATATGATAAAGTTGATACTAATAAAGTTATAGAGAAATTAGAAAAGAAATTTAGTTATGTATCAAATATTCCTGATATAGCAAAAAAGACACAACCATTAATAGAAAAACATGAACTAAAAGAACAGTCTCAACTAAAGAAAGCTTATATAGCTAAAAAACCTAAAAAACCACAAAGTTTCTTAAAATGAATTATTAAATAAATAACTTGAACATATAAATGAATTAAAAAAAAATCTATTTGTTTAAAAATTCAATCAATTTTTATCATTCAATTCTAAATCAACTACTTTTAATAGTTCTAAATTAGTTGCTGTTGTTAATCGTAATTTTTCAATTCTTGATTTGCATAAATTAGCTAGCTTTTCAAGCATTTCAATTAATGAAGCATCTTTTGATCCTGAAAAATAGGAATAATGAACTTTACATAAGAAACTTGCAATTGTAACACTCATTAATATTCGTTTGTCTTTTTCTAACCAATCAACAACCCATCTTAAGAGAAGAATAGCATTACTCGTTGGTAACATTAATAGTGTTTGTTGTAAGTTTGATGGAGAAATTTTACCAACTAGTTTTAATAAATGGTCACTTGGAGATAATCCACATAATAAAATATTTGGTTCAGGTGGTTGTGGTTTATCTCCAACAGGATTGAGATTCCATTGTGCTAACTCTTCTTCATATCCTTTCATAGAAAAATCTTCTTTTGTAACTAAATCCAATACTGCCATTAAATCTTCTGCATCTTTAATTGTTTCTATTGTTTTTCTGGATGCCTCATTAGTATCTAATCTATCAGGAGCATTTCTATCAACAAAATCTAATTGCTTTAATTCTTCATCATTAAAATGTTGTGTGAGTTGTTTGTTTTCTTCTTCTTCAACAAAAATTTGTTCTTTTGAACGCATCCAAACAATAAATGAATGATCAGCTGATGATGAAACAATATAATCACCAAAAGTAGAACATCCTATTGAAAGAATTCCAGCGTTATGTTCTTTGAATGTTTTGATTTGAATTTGTTTATCAGCATCCCAATATCTTAATGACTTATCTCTTGAAACAGAAAAGAAATAATGTGTTCTTGGAATACAAGCAATTCCAGTAATTAAACCTTCATGTCCTTTAAATGTTTTAATACATTCACCATATTGTAACCCCCATACTTTTATTGATTTATCAGCACTTCCAGTAATAATTATATTATTATCATCACTAATGTCTAGTGCAGTAACAGGTAAATTATGACCATATAATGATAAATAAAATTGCATTGTTGGTAATTTATACACTTTTACTGTATTATCCATCAGAGCAACAGCAAGAACTTGTCTTGACACAATTAAATTAAGAATTGAGTCATCCATTTCCCATTCATTTTCTTTAGTCAACGTAACACATTTCTTTCCATCTTCATCAGTAAGAACATCTACCATCCAAAGTCTTACTTGTTTGTCTTTTCCCCCACTTACTAATCCAATCATATCTCCTCCTTTCCATGGTTTAATAACAGTAATTTCTCCAGAGTGAGCAGTCATTGATCCAATAACAACAGATGCAGCTGTATCAATGATTTCAATTGAACCACCAACAGTACCAATGGCAATAAACCTTCCTCCAGGTAAGAATGTTGCTGTATTTGCTCTTCCACAATCAATACTTCCTAAATTAGTTCCATTTGGATTCCACATAGAACAATTCCCATCTCCAATACATGCAACTTTCATATCATCATCAGAAACTAACACTACTCGTGCGTCTGGTCTATAATGATCTTGAAGAGGTGCAGGATTCCATTCTTTATATCTATACTCTTTAAATCCATTTGTAATAGCTACAACCATTAGTCCATCATCTCCAACACAAATAGATTTTATTGCAGTATTCAATTTCATCGCATGTCTTAATGTAACATAATCAGTTAATAAAAATTCTCCATCTTCAAGTCTTTTTTTTCTTTTCTTTGATTGAAGTCGTTCATTTGATGTTATAATTTCTGCATATCCTAAAGTTCCATTATTCACACGCATTCCAAGAATTTTTCCTTTCTTTGTAAATTCTTCTACATCTCCTCCGATAGCAAGTACTCCTTCCCCTTTAATTTCCAAAATATCGTCCTCATTATCAACACGTTGTAAAACACGTAATTTACCATCAATTGTCGATGTTAACAAAATATTATCTTCTAATTCAATAATTGCTTTAATAGCTGCACGATGTCCAACTATTGTTTGTCTACATTGTTGAATTTCTAAATCCCACACTTTAACTAATCCATCATCTCCAACAGAAACAACAAATCCTGGAATAAATAATGCACCTTGAATCATATTAAGATGTCCTCTAAAACGACAAACTCCTTCTTCTCTAACAATGTCCCAAACTACAATTTCTGGTTCATTTGCAACAGATAATACCATCTCTCCATTTTCACTAAACTCAAGAATTCTAACTCCTGTACGATGTCCACTGAATGTAACAAGTAATTCTCCATCTAAACATGAAAAGATATTAACTTTTCCATCTACAGTTCCTGCAGCAATGTGATTTCTTTCATCATCTACAGCAATTACAGATATTTCTTCATCACAAATATATTTACGTTCAATAGTGTTTGTTCTTGTATTTAATAATATGACTGTTTTATTTCGTACAACCAATATTTGTTTACTATTGAAATAAAGAATATTGGCAGTTGAAATAGCCCCACCACGAGCATCAACTTTGTAGTCCAAATAAGTTTTGACCATCAATTCTCATTTTTAAATTCTTTTAGGGTTTTCCAATGAAAAATATTATTTGTGAAAAACAAAATATTTCAATTTTTCTTTTCTTTTTGTTTTTAACTCATTTTGAAAATAATATTTTTTTCCATTCTTTTCTTTATTAACATATTCATAAAGATAACAACAATACAAGAATAGTCATTCGTCATTTTAATAGTTACTAATTATTTGTTTTGCAAAGACATTGAAAATTCAAAAGAGACATATTTTTGATTCTTAAAAGAATATAAATAAGTCTATTAAATGCAAAAGTAACATTTCTTTCATTAAAAATAATTTCAATACTCCAAATAATGATTAATTAAATGAATTATAACAATACAACAATTCATGTTTATTTGATAAAAACTTAGCAATGTTAAAATAAGTAAATTTTTGTAAAATTCTATTCATAATAGTGTTTATAATATTGACGAACAACAAATATTGTATTTATTTGATGAGTAAAATGAAATATGATATTGAATAAAACAGAGATGGCAACAAAAAAAATCAAATAATTGAAAAAAAGAAGAGAAAGATATAAAAGAATAAAAAGAAAGTAAGAAGTAGAATATGATGATAAAAGAATAAAAATAAAAATAAAGAAGATAAAAAGAAGATAAAAATAATAAATCACAAAGATGTAATAAAAGAAGAAATAAAAAGTGTATTTTTATTGTAAAAATTAGAAATATTCAATAAAAAGTGTCTAATTTAATGATGTAAAATGATTAACAATATTTTATTGATGAAAAATATTTTATTCGTTTTATGTTTATTATTTATATGTATAATTTAAACATGACGTTTATTATATATTCAATCATATGTGTTATGTTATTATAACATATAATAAGTAATAAAATATAAATGAAAATGATATTAATATATAACATAGAATATAAAAACAAAAGAATAATAAGAATAAATGATAAATAAATATAGAAATGATAGTCAATGATATAATAATAAAATCAAAATATAAAAGATAAAATTAATATTAATATAAATCAAAAGAGAATAAATATAAAATGAAAATAGATATAAATGATAATAATATAAAAGATGAATAAGATGAATAAACAAATACATCTAGATAGAAAAGAATAACAATAAGAAAATCTAAATAATATAAACATCAAAATAATAAAATAAGAATAATATAATAATATATAGATAAACAGATGATATAAATAATATAAAAATAAGCTACATAAATAAATATAAATAACCAAAACATCTATTTCATTAATATTTCATACAAATGAATATAAATGAATATAAAATATAAACATACATATATACAGATTTTATATTTATCATATTTTTTATTTTTTATGAATAAAATATAATAAATGGAATATTCTATAGATGCAAATTATTTTGCATCTTTTTCATTTTTTTTTTGGTTTATTTATACGCATTATTTCTTTGCTTAATTTCGTGCCTATGAAGTATCATTTCCTTTGTTTTAGTTAGTTTCAACAACTATAAAATTAAATTAATCTTCGTTTAAGTTATTGTTTGATTTGTTCTTTTGTTTTTAATGTTTATTAAAACAAATCATTCTTTATATTGATGTTTTAAGAAGAATATAACACATTAATTATGTTTCTTCTTCAATAACCACAAACACTTATCAATCACTTTTCTTGACAAAACCAATCTATATTCATTATATAACTTTCATAATTAAATATATTTCAATATTGTTACTTGACACTTCAATATTATTAATTATTAATAAGTGATAATTCATAGTAATAAATAATTATTCTCATACCATATTAAATATTGATAAATAATACCACAATCATAATCATTAATTCATAATAATCATTAATAATATATTAATAACAATTAATTAATATTGAATGAATAATATCTCACAACATACATCACCATAATCAAATATTATTTGATATTTCATTATTTGATTTTATATTAATGTTTGTGTGTTGTTGCTGATTTTCATTATTCATTTCTCATTCATTTTCATTTAATAAAATAGAAGAATAAAAATAATGAAAGAAGATAAATAAAATAAGAATAAAATAAGATAAAATCAATGATATTGTTATTATATTATTATGTTATTTTAGTTTTGATTTTATATTTATTATTTTATTTTTATCTTTTATAATCATCATTCATTTCTTCTTTTTGTCAATTCCTCTTTTCTAAACATCACTAATTTATTCTATTTCTATTTCATTCTATTTTCTATATTCTTGTTGTTATTTTATTTAGTTCATCTTTTATCATTTGTCGTTTCTTGTTTATTCTTGTTTGTTGTATATTTTATTATTATTCTTTATTTATTTTATGTTGTGTTTATTCTTATTTATCTTTCTTATTATGTTTTGTTTATTATTGTTTAAATAGAAAATAAGAATGAATAAAGAATAAGAAATAAAGAA